TATTAATATTATAATTGCCAAATCATCTTTCTATATAGATCCTGAATAACAATCCACTTCTCCATGCACAACTGAGGTGAGTTTAAAGCTTATTCACTTATTAATATTTAATTCTCAACTACCTCATTGGTAACATGTCACAGGTATGTGTCTAGCAATCAAAATATATCCTGTTGATGACTGTCATTTTAACTTAATCTATCAAACAGACAACTCCCTTCTCTAACCCAGCTCCACACTCTTCACTTGAGGAACACGCAGGTAACATATTAAAGTTGTATTCCTTTGGGCCATTGCACAAATTAACTGATAGTTGCGAGGTTTGCTGAAGTGTCCTGATTTTTGTTGTTCAGTGCAAATCTGGTGTGTTGGAATCAAATCAATGCATTCAAGGTTGTCTGAGTTCACATTACCTTACATTCTTTTGTGGTTTAATTTCTTTAAGTTTCAGTCACCAATTCTTTTTTTTTTTTTACCTCTTTACAAAATGTGGAATTATCTCATACCCTTTGGTACACCATTCTTTTACCAAAACTTTGTTTCTGGATAGCTAATTATGAACATTTTGAATGTGCTGGGTTACTGAAAATGTAGCAGATGATGATGATGGCCTTGATATGAATTCATATTGTTAGTGATAACTTATAGTTCTGTATCTCTGATGCTACATTATATTAAATTACATTTTAATTCAATGGTGCCATGCATTGTTCAGCTTTTAAATATATTATTTATAATAAATGGAACTTTCCCTACCTTTACAGAGAACAATAACAAATATGCCAAACAAATTGGAAGGCCTTGTCAATCTAACAGGTACTTAGCAGTCAAACACTAAAATAAATTACTGTTCGTTATCATGATTTACTGCAGTTTATTGATGCTATACTTTATTTTGGTTTTATTTGCAGGAGATTAAGAGTAACTTTAGTTTTGAGATCTCAAGATAATTCCTCTTATTTCAGATCTGGATCTTTCATTTAATGATCTACCGAGAGGTGAGAAATTGATTGAATTAATACGAACTCATTGCTAGGGAACATGGTTGAGGACTGATTACCATAATTATAATTAGATAATGGTACATTTTTCTTTTAAACGGAATATTTCATTAATTATATTTGCAAAAGGCAGTGGTGTTCACACGATACAAGGCCCGACACTAACGGTAGCCATCTAGCCACAGACTAGTAGAAATTCAGTTTTTGCTTGTAGTTTTCAGTTTCCACTAGCTGGTTTGGCTAGTAAACAAACTGAAATTGTTGTAACATCTAAGTTGTCATCAGCCACTTGGTTAGTAAGTTGAAAAGTTAGTGTCAAGCCCTGATGACATACAATTATCATAGTGTGCATGTTAATCTTATCATAGTACTTATCCATGTTAATCTTATCATAGGACAATATCATAGTGTGCATGTTAATCTTATTGAGCTGCTTGTCAATCTTGCAGTTCCTGAGCCAGTGTACCTGATTGCCAGCTTGAAAAGAGTCAATTTGTCACACAACCTGATCACTGAAGTGTCCACGCTCATAGGTTAGTAAATATATTTTTTGTGGAAAAGAGGTTCAGAACAGACTTTTAATTTATTTGCACCACTACGTATGCTTTAGTTCTTGTTCACCCATGTGGTATTGTCTTACAGATACGTGGACACAAGTAGAGACATTGAACTTATCAAGGAATCAACTTACAGGAATTCCAGTGAGTGCCGTCCACTCTTTAAAGAAGGACCCACCTCAAAAAACTGCTCACTCTTAACGTCCAACAATCTAATAAGCACGTCAGGCACTTAATGCAATAAATAATTAAAAGTGATTTTCTCTATACTGCCAATAATCAGAGACATTTGTGTATAAAACACAAAAAATGTCAATTAGCACCCTCTGATCTTCAAGGTTTACATCTTTTTAATTAGATGTTCTACCAGGCTAATCCTTTTGTTCTGTTTCTGTCAGGCTGCACTTTGCAAACTTGTGGCCCTCAAGAGAT